CTGGGCTTTGTGTATGCTAATTGGTTTAGCTTATGAGAGACAGACCAGCATTCTATCTTGAGTTAATTCTGCTAACTGGCATTTGTCTTGAGAAGGTAATTTCTGAACACAAAGTCATGTTTTAAAAGGAATATAATTGATCTGGGCATTGGTGGCTCGTGCCTGTAATCCTAGCTACTCAGGAGGCTGAGCTCTGAGAATTGAGGTTCAAAGCCAGCCTGTTAAGGAAAATCCATGAGACTCATATTTGCAATTAGTTACCACAAAAGCTGGAAATGGAGCTTTGGCTCAAATGGTAGAGTGCTAGCCTTGAGCAAAATTGCTCAGTGACAATGCCCAGGGCCCTGAGTTCAAGCCCTAGGACTCCACAAAACCAAGGATAATTGGTATAAGAATCTAGCAACAAAATATACTTTTACTTCTTGGTGTCATTGTCTTAATTCTCTTCCAGTTTATGGTCTGTGTCTCTCCTGCCTTCAGCCATTGATATCAGAGGTGTTCATGGTTAACTCATGAACTGATTAGAAGCAGAAAGGCTAATTTTACATTTCTGCAAGATTTGAAAGAAAAAAAATCACTTTTCTAAAAAAAATATTGCTTTGTTTCATGTGCCAGTTCTATAATAACAAATATACAGACTGAGTGAAATTTTATCTAATCTATTATCACTGATAAGTCTAAAAAAAAAAAAGCCTTTCAACCTGACTGCTGGTGGCTCTTGCTTGTAATTAAGATTGTTCAGGAGACTGAAATCAGAGGATTAGGTTTTGAAGTCAATCCAGGCACAACAGTGTTTGAGACTTATCATCAGTTAACAGGCAAAAAGCCAGCAATGGAGACGTGGCTCAAGTGGTAGAATGCCAGCCTTGAGTGGAAAAAGCCAAGCCTGAATGTAAGGCCCTGAGTTAAAGCCACAAAACCAGCATAGTCTTAGGGTTTGTGTGTGTGCACACAGACACACACATATATACACACACAAATTCCTCTCTCCTGCTGAGTGTGTCAGACTCTGATTCTTCATGGCTGAAGGTCATTTTAATGCTGTTCACCAAAGTGTTAAAACCATACATACTTATTTCTGGAAACAGAGTCAGATGCTTTAAAGATTTGTCCTGGGTTTTGTTTCTTGCTTGATCTATATTGAAATCTTTTCATGTGTTTCAACAATTCTGTTGCATTATTCTCTGCAATCTGTAAGTAAATGATTGTTTCGCTGAAGGATATAAATGTATTATCAAATTTGTTCTGTTGCACAATGATGTAAAAAGAAGACTAAAATGTCTGGAGATATAAGTTAGGCAAAGCATATCCTGGAAAGTTTGGAGATTATGCCCTTCTATCTGAGGATACTTTCCAAGAAACTAAGGTGTCAGCTGGATGCTGGTGGCTCATGCCTATAATTCTAGCTATTCAAGAGGCTGAGATCTGAGGATTGCAATTCAAAGCCAGCCCAGGCAGGAAAGTCCATGAGACTTTATTCTCCAGTTAACCACCAGAAAACCAGAAGTGGCGCTGTAGCTCAGAGTGGTACAGCACTAACCTTGAACAAAAATGCTCAGGGACAGCACCTAGGCCATGAGTTCAAACCCCAGGACTGGCACCAAAAAAAAAAAAACAACACCAGAAAAACCAAAGACATATGATGTGTTTGGCTAAAGGGCTGAGATAGCCCGTTCAAGTTCCTTGATTACAAAATGTTCAAGGGCATTGTGGCCACCCATACTCATTAATGCCAACTGTTTCTAACTACTATTAGTATCTATGTGTTTCTATCACATTCTCTTATTTTTTAATGTATTATTTCTATCTCATGTTTGTCTCTGTTCCCCCTAAATTCTCAATTCTCTGTCTTTCTATTGTATTTATTTAGGAATCCATAAAACTATTAAATGTTTAGGTTACTACTACTTGGAGAATGTTCTTCCTCCAAGAACCTTTCTGTTCTATCATTAACACATTGTTAATCATTTTTGTGGATTTAGTGAGGAATGATTTAAGTATTAAAGTTTCTTGACATTTAAAAATTACTTTGCTGACATACACATTGAAGTCTTAAGTTGCTAATTGCCAAAAAGAAAAAGAAAAGTTGATTTTAGAACACAAACTTTTAAAATCTTTCTTTCTTTCTCTCTCTCTCTCCTTCTCCCTCTCTTTCTCTCTCCCCCTCTCTTTCTTTTTTCTGCCAGGCCTGGGGCTTGAACTCAGGGCCTGGGCACTGTCCCTGAGCTTCTTTTCCTCAAAGCTAGCACTCTACCACTTGAGCCACAGCGCCACTTCTGGCTTTTTCTGTTTACGTGGTACTGAGGAATTGATTGAAATGCTTGGCAAGCACTGTACCACTAAGCCACATTCCCAGCCCCATGAGTATATTTCATACACTCAGCGTGTCTGGAAACTGACAAAAGCTAGTACTAGTTCATCCAGAATGGCTTTAAGAGACTATTCTCATAGTCTCTCCTCACCCCCCTCTTTTTCCTTCCCTTCCTCCCTTCCTTCCTCCCTCCTTCCCCCCTCCCTTCTCTCCTAGGATTTGAACTCACCCCTCAGTGGCTCTTCTACTTGATTGCAATCCTCATTTCCCCCCCCCCCCAATGTTTTTCTTTAGTTATTTTTCAGGTATTATTGTCTAGGTCTAACATAATCAGGATGTCTCATGTAGCCGAGATTGTAGCCATGCATCACCACAATTGTTGGCCAAAGTGGGGAATCTTACTAACTTTTGGCCCAGGCTAACTTTAAATCATCCTCTTCCTGTAGCCACTCAGTGAATTCTAGTCAGAAAAAGACTTAACCTATCTTCCTGGCAAACACACCAAATATGCTACCAGAAAGTTTAAGGCAACTAAAGAACCTCATCCTTGTGTCTGGAAAGAGAAGAAATCCAGGCAGATGTAGACATAGTTGAAGGTGATAGGAACGTTTATTCAAGAAGAAATATAGCAGAGCAAGGGAGAATGCAGCATAGAAATGGCCACCGGAAGGCAGCCCTTCAGCGCACTGCAGCCATCTTGGATTGTCTTCCTCATTACAGAATTTGGCCTTGCATTAAATAGGGAGAAATTAGAGTCCTTGAAGACAGCTTTCTGATGGGTGGGCCTCCTTCCTGTTTTCTACAAGATTGGGAAGCCAGAGATTCAGCATCCTTGTCCTTGTCTCCTCATCCTTTTGTACTTTTACTCCCTCATTCTCTTGTAGCCACCTTTCCCCGTCAGCCCTGTTGTTGTCGGTCTGGTTTTGGTTTATCAGCGTATCCTGCCATGTGTAAGTCATATGGGCTGCAATTCCCTGACTGCCAGCTTTAGTACTAAGCCATCTCAGTCAGTCAATGCCACGTAGTGTCAGCCTGTCCTTATTGAAATATGTCATCATCGCCACCATTGTGATTTGGTATTGTAAGTGCCCATACAGATGGATTTGTCTTCCTCAGTCAGGCCTGGACCATATCTTCTCTGATTCCCATTTATCCCCACTGGCTCAGTTTGGGGATAGATGGAGTTTAGGAACCTGATTGTTGAGTGGTTGAACAATCCTTGTAGCCAAAATACCAGCCATGGCTGTGGAGTTTCTGTAGCACCTGCTCCATAAGTTACAAGAATTGTCATCTGTTATTGTTTCAGAGCAGTGAGATTTGCCAGGTGCTAGTGGCTTGTACCTGTAATCCTAGCTACTCAGGAGGCTGAAATCTGAGGATGTGAAGCCAGCCAGGCAAGAAAATCCTTGAGACACTCATCTTCAATTAACCAGCAGAAAACCGGGAAGAGGAGGCGTGGTTCAAGTGGTAGAGCTGCCAACCTTGAGCCAAAAAGCCATTTGAGAGTGCAGGGACCTGAATTCAAGCCCTAGGATCAGTCTAAATAGAAAAAGGAAAAAAGAAGAGTGTAGTTTATCCTTTACTAGCAATATGAAAATAGGATTCCTGTGTGGTTTGCCAAGTGTTTTATTTTTCCAGGTGTTTCTTTCCATACATGCACTAACCCAAAGATACCAGCAGAGGGCAGAATACCTGCATAACTTGCAAACTACATATCTGGTGTTGGCCTAGCAAATTCCAGTAGCTGCCTAAATTGGTCCAAAATATACCCAAGTGACAACACACATAGAAAAGCTACTGGAAAATACAGAAGGAGCTAAGATGCATGCATGCGTGTGTGTGTGTGTGTGTGTGTGTGTGTGTGTGTGTGTGTGTGTGTGTGTGTGCATGCACGTGTGCGTGCACGTGTGCATGTGCACACTAGAACCGAGGCTTGAACCCAGGGCCTGGGCACTCTCTCTGATTTTTCTGCTCAAGGTTGGTGCTGTACCACTTGAGCCACACCTCTACTTACAGCTTTTTGCTGGTTAGAGAAAAGAGTCTTAAAACCGGCACTCGTGGCTCTCTGTAATCTTAGCTACTCAGGAGGCTGAGACCTGAGCATCACAGTTCAAAGCCAGCCCAGGCCAGAAAGTCCATGAGATGCTTATCTCCAATTAAATACCAAAAAGCCAGAAGTAGAGCTGTAGCACAAGTGCTAGCCTTGAGCTAGCTCAGAGACCAGTGCCCAGGTCCTGAGTTCAAGACCTAGGCCTGGCACCAAAAAAAAAAAAAAAAGTCTTACAGAGTTTTCTGCCCAGGCTATCTTTGAACCTCTATTCTCAGATCTCAGCCTCCTGAGTAGCTAGGATTACGGTCATGAACCACTGGTACCTGGCTAGATCCTTTGTTTTTAGAGGCATCAAAGCACCAAATATGAATGTCCTCCTGTGTCCTTAATGTATTTGAGAAATCTTGCTGCTAATTTTGTGTCACTAATTTTTCATGCTGTATTCAATTAAGAAAACAAAATGGGCCTGTCTTTTCTATTGGACCTTTCTTGGGGGTGGGGGAAGGGGCTTTTTAATCCAGATGTTGCTGTGTCAGTGAACATTCCTCACTAAATCTCAGGCAGCTGCTTAGCGACTGTCACTAACCCCTGGCTCTGTCGTCTCTTTGTATATATGTCTAATTTATCAGTTTCTCGTAGATTGTCAGCAGCCTGCTGCCGCCGTACCGCCACAGTGCGCACAACTAACTGCAAGGCCAGACTGCCCAACAGTCAGGTAAACTCACAGCCCTCGCTTCTTCCACCCTGCTGCATGTCTGACCCCCAAAGGCGTGGACGGAATGACCTCCTACTCTGTGTTATCTCACAGCTGGGGCGTGGGGGTTGGGTGTGGGGGGAATGCAAGAGAGTGAGCATTCAGGTCTCTTTACTGCTCGGAGATAGGTTAGAGGCCTTTGTGCCCCTCGGATAGGCAGAGTGTAGGTGTTCACATCCAGGGTGATTCACCAGCCTTCCAGTTGGAAACCTGGAGTTGTGCGGATATTAGTCCCACTTTGCTATTTGTTTCTCAGACAAGCAAAACCAGGAAGAGAATGGAGACCAAAGATACACAGTGTAGCAAAGGTCTGACCCAGGACAACTTTATTTTTTTAAAAAAAGAGCTTCTAAAGCTGGTGACTCACATCTGTAATCTGAGCCACTCATGGGGCCATCATAAGAAGATCACCAGTCTGGACAGAAAAGCCCAATTAGCCAGCTGGGCTGAAGCTAGGCATTGGTGGCTCATGCCTGTAATCCTAGCAGCTCTGGAGGCTGAGATCTGAGGATTGTGGTTCATAGCTAGCCTGGGCTGCCTACCCTGTCCATGAAATTCATATCACCAGTTAAGCACCAAAAAGCCATAAGTGGAGCTGAGGCTTAAGTGATAGAAGGAACAGTACTCAGGCCCTCAATTCAAGCTCCAGGACTGGTGCACAAAATGCTAGACTGGAGGCATGGCTCAAGTGGTAGAGCACCAGCCTTGAGCAAATAAAACTAAGGGACAGTACCTAAGGCCTGAGTTCAAGCCCCATCAAACTCTAGTACTGGAGCACACGTGTGGGCGGGCATCCACACACATACATACACATTGGTAATGAGTGAGCTTTTTAGATAAGATGATCTGAAAAATTTTAAAAGCAAATTTGCTCACTCCCTGGACAGGGACCTGGAGAGCTGACGACCATCCATGGTTCCTGGGAAAACTTGTGTGAAATCCGCTATGACTTTTCTTCATCCTGGCTTCCCTAACTCCTGTTGGAGCCATATGCTTTCCTAGTCTGTCTGCGTGTTGCTCATTCGTGCGTGTTGCTATATCTGTCACCCTCATTCCAGGGGAGACTTCTTTAGTCCTGAGTCTGTCTGAGGAGTAGGTGTAACTGCGGGCCACATGTGGGCCTGCATTGAGGAGCTAGTAAGCCACCAATGCAGGACTGTGGCAGCCAGGAGCCAAGTGTCACATGGTCCCTGGGACTAAAGTTGTATTGTTCCCGGCCAGGGTCATTTTATTTGTTTGTTTGTTTTTGTGCCAGCACTGGGGCTTGAACTCAGGGTTTAGGTACTGTCCCTGAGCTTCTTTTGCTCAAGACTAGTACTCTACCACTTGAGCCACAGCTCCACTTCCAGCTATCTTGGTGGTTGGAGATAAAGGCTCATAAGCCTATAGCATCTCATAGGCTTTCCTGTCTAGGCTGGCTTTGAACCATGATTCTCAGATCTCAGCTTCCTGAGTAGCAAAGATGATAGGCATGGGCCACCTGTGCCAAGCCCAGCCTGGATCTTCTGATGGTTCTTAGTCTGGGCTGTTCTAGCAACAGAGCTTTTATTCCAGAAAGGTTTTTTGCTAACCTGTTCGTGCTATGTGGTATTGGCAGTCAATCATAGAGCAGTTTCAATAATGGATGCAATTCAAATACATGGATAAGTATTCCGTCCATCTTGATGGAATTTTACAGGTATAATGTTAAGAATGTGACCTGTAACTGGGCAAGTGGCTCACGCCTATCATCCTAGCGATTCAGGAGGCTGAGATTTGAAGATCCCCATTGGAAATAGGCTCAAGCAGACAAATCTGAGAGACTCTTATCTCCGACTAACCAGCAAAGAGCTGGAAGTGGAGGTATGGCTCAAGTAGTAGAGTGCCAGTCTCAGGTGGCTCAGTGAGAGTGTGAGGCTTTGAGCTCAAGTCTCAGTACTGGTACCAAGCTACTTGGGGCTGTGATCTGAGGATCATGGTTAGACAGGAAAGTCTATAAGACACATCTCCAGTTAACTATCAAAAAAGCCAGAAGTGGAACTGTGGCTCAAGTTGGTAGAACTCTAGCCTTGAGAAAAAAACCAAAGCAAACAAAAACTCATGGACAGTGCCCAAGCCTTGAGTTCGAGCCCCAGGACCCGCACTAAAACCAAACAAGCAAACAAAAAATTCCAACTAAATATAAATAAAGACAAATAGGGCTGGGAAGGTGGCTCAGTGGTAGAAGCACTTGCCTTGCATGCCTGAGGCCCTGGGTTCGATTCCTCAGCACCACATAAGCAAAAAGAAAAAAGCCATAAGTGGCACTGTGACTCAAGTGGTAGAGTGCGAGCCTTGAGCTGAAGAGCTGAGGGACCCAGGCCCAGAGTTCAGGCCCCACAACCAGGCCAAAAAAAAAAAAAAAAAAAGAAAAGACAAATAAAAAGTTCAACGTACAGTCCATGCTCTACAGAGAAGCCCACACTCACGCAGGGTTGGGATGTGTGGCTGTGTAGCAGAGGTGCCAGAGGCATGGGTGAGTGAGTGAGTGAGGGGCTCTTTGTCCCCTCTTTGCAATGTGTGGGCTGGGATCCCACCTGTCACACCCCACAGCTGTGTGACCCTGAGGTTCCTTCTTCGGGCTTAAGACTCCTGTGAAGTGAGGAGATCCACAGACCCAGGGGGAGGAATTCAGTGAGGCAGGTCCACCCAGTGTCTGTAATCCACCTTCCGTAGCACCTGTCTGATTAGGCAGAGAAATCCAGTCCCTTTCCTAACCTTCCTCCTTTATTTGGGCACTGAGTAGAAAAGACAACTGCTCTAGGTGGTTTTTGTTTTTGCTCTTTTTGCTGCTCCTGGGGCTTGAACTCAGGGCCTAGACACTTCCTGCATTTTTTTGCTCAGTTAGTGCTCTGTCACTTGAGCCACAGCGCCACTTCTGGTTTTTTCTGAGTAGCTTATTGGAGATATTTCTCATGGACTTTACTGGCCAGACTGGCTTTGAACCAGGATCTCAGATCTCAGCCTCTTGAGTAACTAGGATTACAGGCGTGAACTATCAGTGCCTAACTTGCTCAGGGTGTTTCAAGAACAGAGATGGTCTCATCAGATGGTCTCGTTTTTGTGTGTGTGCCCATCCTGGGGTTTGAACTCAGGGTGACTAGCATTCTACTGCTTGAGCCACAGCTCCACTTCTGGCTTTTTGGTGGTTAATTGGAGATAAGAGTCTCACAGACTTTCCTGCCCAGGCTGGATTTGAACCAAGATCCTCAGATCTCAGTCTCCTGAGTAGCTAAGATTACAGACATCAGCCACCAGTGCCCAACTAGGGAAGACACTTTTAAAGCTTTATTACACCTGGCTATCGTGTGTGTGTGTGTGTGTGTGTGTGTGTGTGTGTGTGTGTGTGTGTGTGTGTGTGTGTGTGTACTCGTGCATGTGTGTGTGTATGCACATGCTGGTAATAGGCTTGAAGTCAGGGTCTCTTGCTCTCACTTAGCTTTTTTGCTTTAAGGCTGGCATTCTACCAATTGGGCCACAGCTCCACTTCTAGTTTTTTTGGTGGCTAATTAAAGACAAGAGTCCTTTAGATTTACCTGCTCAGGCTGGTTTCAAACTTGGATATTCAGATCTCAGGCTTCTGAGTAGCTGGGATGTCACCAGTGAGCCACCAACACCCAGCCCACCCAGCCTGGCTTTTTTTTTTTTTTGGTGGGGGGTGGTGGGGGTGGATAGGTTGCAGGGCTTGAAACTCAGGGTCCAAGCGCTGTCCTTGAGTTTTTTTGAAAAAAGCCCTAATTTTCTAGTGGTTAATTAGAGGAAAGAATATCACAGACTTCCTGCTTGGGCTGGATTCAAATGATAAACCTCAGATCTCAGCCTCCTAAGTAGCTAGGATTACAGGTGTGAGCCACCAGCACCCAGCACTTTTTTTTTTTTTTTTTTTTTGGTAGATCCATTCTGACTTAAACATTTAAATGACCCAGTTCAGTTGCTTATGCAGAGATGGCTGCATTTAGGCTACTTGCTTTTTCCATAGGTCGATTTACTTGAAATCAAAGCACTTTCATGAATTGCAAATGTTTCTCCTCCCTTGATGACAGCCTAATCTCAACCCCACTTCCACAGCTCATGTAAAGAAAAGAACAAATGTGTGGTGCTTCTGGCTCACACCTGTAATCCTAGCTACTCAGGAGACTGAGATCCGAGAATCACAGTTCAAAGCCAATCCAGGCAGCAAAGTCCAAAAGATTCTTCTTATCTCCAAATAAACCACCAAAAAAACTGGAAGTGGAGCAGTGGCTCAAGCAGTAGAATACTAGTCGAGTTAAAATGCTCAGGGACAGTGCCTAAGCCCTGAGTTCAAGCCCTAGGCCTGGCACAAAAACGAACAACACTGATAAGAACAGTCTGGGATGAAGAGTTTATATTACATTTCCCCGATGCGTTTCATTTTTCTTTGTCCTGTCTTGTTTTGAACGCCCCCCCCATGGTGCCAGCATGCTTTGGACTTTAATGGTGCCAGCATGCTTTGGACTTTAAACTATTTAAGTGTTTGTGAAACGTAATGGGTGTGATCTCTGCAGCCTGCGTGAGCCTTAGTCAGCGCGTTCTGCTGACCAGTGTGTTTCTGCTTTGCAGTCCTGATGGAGTGGCCCCTGAGGAGCAGCCACATTCCAGCTCGCCCTGCGTTCCTCTCCAGTGTCTCTCACCACCACCTCGCCCCTAAGCCTCACCGCCAGTGGACATTGGGGCACACCCAGGATACTGCCCAAGACCCAGCAGGGAGTTTTCTTCTCCGTAGTCAGATGGCATTGGATTCATCATCTGGGAAGAGGAAACATTGAGAAGAAAACACAAAGCATCTAGACTCCTTGTGCGATCAATGTGTTCTGATGAACTGCAATCAGTTGGCTCTAGTGCACTTCGATTTAAAAAAAAACAAAACATAAATCTCAGATGACTGGCTTTACCTCTATAGCAGAGTGTCCTATGACAATTTAAGGAGACATATGTTATAAAATTATCTTTCTTCATCCTCCAAATTCAGCTATACAGGAGGATTCCTTTTTTTTTTGGTCGTTGGTATTTATTTTGTTGGAGATTTTTTTTTTTTTTTGGCTATCTAATGTATGTCTATCAAGCTAATTTAATTTCTGTGAGAGGAGAATTTAATTTAATTCATTATTTTATTTTTGAATCAGCAATAGTTTGCTGAGTGAAATATGAGTTGTAATTTAGCTTGGGATCTGGAATTAGCCAGACTGGTTATTTTCCTTTCACAAAATGCTATGCGAGGTGCATTTGATCGTTAACAGTAACTCTATTTTGCTGTTACATTCATACTATGTATGCAAACTTTCTTTTCTAATTGGTCACTCATTAACTGCTGGGTTTTGTTTTTCTTTTTGTTTTTCTTATTAGCGTTCTTCACTGGACATCGTTAAGTAAATCTAAGAAAGAGACTAAATTATAATTCGTTGACACTCAAGTTTGGATGGCATCTTTAGCTTTTTTTGAAATTGCAATTTGAGTAGATGCACTGGTGCTGCTTGTGTGTGTGTGTGTGTGAGAGAGAGAGAGATGATATGATGTTAAAGTTAAATAATTTGAAGGGAAAAATAGTGTGTTTATTTAATGATCAGAATATATATATTTTTTTCTTCTTCCAAATTCAGGGTCCTACTATGAGTCTTTCCTGTTAAAAAGTATCAAGAATTAATTGGGAAGTATATACACAGATAGATGTAAGGTAGTCTTGGCTAGTTAATTGACCCAGAAGTGTTCAAATTTTGAGTCAGTTGTATGCTTTGTTGTCAGGTTTTTTTCATAATTAATCTTCCTTGCTAACACCACCCCCCCAACCCCAATAGGTTAAAAAAAAAAAACATAGCTCATTGTCTACTTTTGATCAACACTCAGGTGCCTATAATCATTTTAGATTGAGATAAGACATGTTCCTAGTTAATTTCCAGATTCTGCTAGGTAACTTTTATGACTTGATTTCACCGTGGATTTTCATAAGCAAAATTTATTTTGCACATCATCTGACAAACAAGGAAACGTGTTGAAACTTCTTGAGCTGTCAAGTCTTGCACGGGCTCTTTAATTTCCCAGGGCTGGTTCACACTGTTGCTCCTCATCTTGGCTCCTTGTCCCTGTCAGATAGCCTTAACTTAGTTAAAGACCCAAGGATTTCATTTTTCATGTAATGGAATCTGTAACTTGTTTTCAAAATGACTAGATCTTTATTGTTCATGTAAAGGACCATTAGCAATGTGGGGTGCTAAACCATAGGTGGGGTGTCTAGTAGAAGGAGGGCATTGTCAGGGAGTTGTCAGTCCTAATGTATACCCTGTCTGTTCTTGTCTATCATCTGCCAGTGAAGGTGCACTCCCTGTTAATTACCAAAGCCACCAAAAGGTTCTGTGTTCTTTCTAGAAGTGCTACTTTGATCCAGGTCCTTTCATAGGCAGCTTGGAGGAAATAATTGAGATCTTCCACAAAAATAGGGATTAGAGTTAGAGGACAGAAACAGATGTGTGTGTGTGTGTGTGTGTGTGTGTGCGCGCGCACGCGCGCGCGCGCGTGCGTGTGTGCGTGTGTGTGTGTGCGTGCACGTGCACGCGCGTGCATGTGTGTGTGCTGGTACTGGGGCTTGGACTGAAAGTGTCTCATACTCTTGCCTGGCTTTTGCTCCTAAGGCTGGCACTCTACTACCTGAGCCATACCTTCACTTCTGACTGGGTCATGGGAGATCAGAGTCTTTTTAAAGACTTCCCTGCCTGAGCTGGCTTTGAACTGTGATCCTCAGATCTCAGTCTTCTGAGTAGCTAGGATTACAGGTGTGAGCCACCAGTGCCTAGCTTAGAAACAGATTGTTATGCAAGTTCTAACCCCAGGACCCTCTTGCATTGTTCCTACATGCATTGTCTTGCTGTGAGGTCCTGTTTATTAGTGTTGCGTCTACCCAGTAGCAGGATGAAGGAGCAGGATGGGTTTTATTGGAGTCAATGAAAGAAATCTTCCATGCTCCTGTTGTGTGATTTTATTTTGTTTTGCCAAGTGGTTGTAGCGAATCGACTTTGTGCCTGAGGGAAATGGCCTTTTTAAACAAGTACCTCAGAACATCTTTCTTTTTGGCTGGTTTTTTGAGGTGGTGGTGGTGGGTGCCCAGTGGGATTCTTTAGGTAAATATAGGATGGGTGAGTATGGCGCCCCCTGTCAGGAGAGCTGGTACTGAATTCCCTCTCAATCCTTTAGAGCCCAGTCACATAGAAAACTCTTATTTCTCCCAATAGGAAACTTACCATGAAATCACTTAACTACTTTATTTCTGCTTTTTTAAAAAAAGTTATCTAAATAGAGTGGGACAGGCTTGCTTGCAAATATTAATCCTATAAAATGATTTTTAGCAAGACTTTGCCAAGGAGATAAACTTGGAGATGAATTAGCACAAAATTAGGTGATAATCCCTGAGCAGTAAAAGAGAAAACCATAGATTTATCTTGTGGTTGAGCCATATTTATAGTCACTTACAGATTTAAAAAATTTTTATTTATTTATTTATTTATTTTGTGCTGGTACTGGGGCTTGAGCTCAGGGCCTGGGCACTATCTCTGAGCTATTTTGTTCAAGGCTGGTTCTCTACCACTTGAGCCATAGCTCCATTTTCCACTTTTTGTTGGCTTATTGGAGATAAGAGTCTTACAGATTTGTCTGACTGGGGCTGGCTTCAAATCAGGATCCTCAGAGCTCAGCCTCTTGAGTCGTAGATAGGATGACAGGCGTGAATCACCAACCCAGGCCAAGGCAATTTTTTAAAGGAAGCACAGTTGCAATATGGAAGACTTGTGTATGGAGATGCTTTCCTACTGAGGATTTTTCTTAATTAAAAAAAAACAGTAAAATAAAGTGAAGCAATTAATTGCTTCTCATTCAAGTGCTTACACCTTGGTGGAATCTTCCTAATCAATTCATGTTTTCCTCAGATCTTGTTATATATTCCATTGTGGATTCTAAGAAAAGAGGAGAGGGGAGGTATTGTGATTTGGAGAACTTCTAGAAAACACAAAGCTATTCACTAATTTAAAAAATATTTATTCAGAAATAATACTTTATTTAGCCTAAGGAAGTAGTAATCCTTAAGAAAAGAGAATTTACTGAATACTTAGGTGGGCGCATTAAATTCTAACCCCCTTAAGGGTACATAACCTTTTGAAGTTGAGAAAAATAAAAAATTTAAAAATTTAAAAAAAAAGAAAAGAATTTATTTCCTCTTGTTAACAAAAAGACATAGCACAATGGCTACAAAAAGAAAGACTTCATTGAGAGAGGTTTTATATTAACTCTAGAAAAGAGATTTTTTTAACAGTGGAAAATTAAGCACTGGAATTTATAGTCATATGGAAGAATTATTATTATTATTACTACTATTTTGGTGCTGGTCCTAGGGCTTGAACTCAGGGCCTGGGCACTATCCCTGAGTTTTTAATGCTCAATGCTGGTACTCTGCCACTTGAGCCACAGCTCTATTTTCCAGATTTTTGCTTATTAATTAGAGATGTGTCTCATGGGCTTTCCTGCCCAAACTGGCTTTGAACCATGATTCTCAGATCTCAACTTCCTGAGTAGCTAGGATTATAGGCATGAGCAATAGGCACCTGGCACAATTAACAAAAAAAATTTTTAAATGAGTTATTATTGGTGGTCTAGTATGTATTCAATGATAAGACATCTCGATGTAGCGTATATTCTGAGAGCCATAATCCTATGATCCTTTCCTTAAAAAATTTAAAAATACTTTACAGTTTTACCAGTTAATCATAAAAAGGGTTCTATCCTTTCAAATGGGATAGCAATCTTTATTTCTTAAAGATATTTGTTCTTGAGAAAGAAGATTGTGATGACTGTTTTTCCTTGTAGCTAGATTTCATAATTTCTTTATAGTTTGTTCCAGAAAGTAGTCATTTTATTATTTTAAAAAAACCTCAAATGTCAAAAGTCTTAAAGAAAACAACTGTCCTCAGGAATATTTTGTGACTGGTAGATATTTGATCCCCTAAGAAGGAGGAATGCCTCTAAAATATGATCTTTATCTAAAAAGATCATGGTCTTTAACGTTTGCTTTTTCCATGCCATAGGGGGTACGTGTGTGTGTGTGTGTGTGTGTGTGTGTACACATGTGCATGCAAATGCACACACACACACACACACACTGGAGTTTGAACGCAGGGCCTAAGCACTGTCCTTTAGCTTTTATGTGCTCATGGCTGGTGCTCTACCATTTGATCCACAGCTCCACTTCTGGCCTCTTGGTGGTTAATTTAGTGGTGGAAATGAATCTTATAGACTTTTGAACTATCAGCCTCAGATCTCAGCCTCCTGAGTAACTAGGATTACAGGCATGAGCCACCAGTGCCTAGCTGGGGAATCCTCTTATATGGAAAGTGGTATATAATCTATTTCTCAGAAAAATGTCAATGGGTAGTCCGAGGGTATAGCTAAATGGTAGAGGACTTGTCTCTCTCCCCAGCTAAAGGTGGGTACACACACACACACACACACACACACACACACACACACACATACACACGAAAGAGGAAAGAGACCCTTGGAGAGCACCTTTTGTCAGCAAGTCTGGCAGGATATCCTTGATCCCTCACTCTAGATTATGACGGAAAGAGAGAGAGAAAAGGCCAGTTAAGTGCTGGTTCAACCCAAGGATGTCACAAATACATTGATAGCGCAGATATAAGTATACTTAGATTGGTCAGAAACAGAATTATGGTTTGCAATTTTTTAAA